TACCAGAGATTGACAGCTGATAACAACTCTCGAGATAATGCCTTCGTGCTGTCTCAACGGACACATCTGATTCTGCTTCATTTTCACCGCTTGCTGTTTTCTCAGAGCTTGAGACGGCCTGGATATAGGAACGCGGGTCAGAAATTATTATTGGATGGCAATAAACAATATTTTTCGCTTACCTGCCTCAAGGTGAGCAGCGGACGTCCCTTGACATCGACAATATCGTTACGATGCTCTACAAGAAAAGCCAGCTTGTTCGGTCTTATGATGCCACATTCGCGTGCCACGCTCTGAGCCGTCAGAAGATTGTCCCCTGTGACCATAACTGTGCGGATGTGAGCTCTGGAAATACTAAGCTCTAGGGTCAAAAAACACAAACGCCAAAATCAAGGACATCGACCCTCCAACTAAATTTTTTACGAGATAATGATTTTCATTTATTTTACAACCTATTTTGTGCTACTTGGGTAACAAGACCGAGGTTCAACGCATAAAGCTTGATTTGACTGATAATGAGTCAGATTTGATCGTGAAAAATTAATTAGAAAGTTAATATTGAATAATTGAATTTCAGTACATCAAATAATGCAACACATCATAAATGTTTTAAAAAGAGTAGGATGCAAATAGCTTCATGAAAAGTCACGCAAGGCTCTGAAGGACCCGTCACTTCGTCGAGAAAAGCCCAAGCGCCAAAAAAGCCTAAAAACGATCAAAAAACCCCAAAAGCGTCAGGAAGAGCCAGACCGTCCCTTTCTCACGCAAGAATAAAAACGTGTTTTACTTCACTTTCTGTCATCTGCACCTCAAAATAAAGTCAGAATTCTACCAAAAGTGTCAAGCTTCAGATGAAACAGAGTTCAATGAAACAGCAGTTGTAGTTTTTAGGACACTGCATAATTTTTTTAGCTTTTCGTAGCTCAGTTAATGATCTTTGCATTGTCTTATTTGATTCATCCTGTCTAGTTCTTTTTCTAGTTCAGACTTCTCCTTACACTAGGATCTGATGACTAAGGGCTCACGAACATGGCTGCGTATTCTGTATCCATTCTGCCTGAACCATTGGTAAAATTCTGACATTATTTTCATGTGCAGTCTACAGAAAATGAAGCAAAATACATGCTCATCACTTTTGCGCGATAGTGGCGTTCCAATTTCTGGCACTTTTGGTTTTTATGGGCGCTTTTGGGCTTTTTCCGGCGAAGTATGACGGGTCCCTGAGAATTGGAAAATCTTAGCCACTCCTCTTCACTTGAAATTTCAATTTTTTTGCATGCCCTCACTCTCTTGCGTAAACGACACAATGAATGTCCTCGAAATCAAGTCTCCTTCTAATTCAACAAACATGCTCAGATAATGCCAAGCAATCTACCTGTTCAACTGGTTGATCACTCCCAAAGTTACAGGCTTTACCCTGTTCTCAAGAACGATAAGACCAAGAAGTGTCAGTTCAGCTTCCACCTGAAACAAACGCATTTATCATAGGAGCAAGCTCGAAAATATGAGACAATACCAAATTCCGAGAGATCTTCGAGGCTTTAACGTAATTCATTTCAAGTTTCTTTTTAGCGATAGAGATTAGGCGATAGCCATGTTGTGCATATAGATCTACTTGGTTCTGAAATACAGACAGTTGGTATGCAGCTTGAACAGCAACATAACTTACCGTATAATCCGAGGGGACCGTAGCCGGATCACAGAGAGACAGTATCATCTCCGGAGAGCCCTTACAGTAGAGGGTCATGTCGTGACCGGAGTCATCTCGTGGATTTGACACTATCACAGACATGCGTTGGAGAGATGAACTGAAGGACACTTGATTGAGAAGGCATTATTGGAATCTTGCAAGGCTCTAAGTAACCGAAATTGATGATGTTTACTTCCAAGCACGCGGCATTGTAGAATTATTAGGTCGTCCGAAAAATAATGTCGCACTGCATCCTACCGAGACAGAGTCATCACAAAAGGCAGTATGTGAGGTGGGTGGTAGAGTAAAGCAAGCTCTATAAGACCGGGTACAAACTATTGCGGAAACATTGTTCCACCTGAAGTTCGAATCTAAAATATAAAGAATTTTAGATACCCGCAAAATCGTATCTCCGTCCATAAATGTCTTAGGGAACTCCA